GGACGTCGGATGGCGTCACGTGGGGACGTAATGACGTGTGCCATTAATCGAACTATGTACTATAACATGTAAAACGGGAACATCAAAGGAATATTCTAAAAGCAACTCATGTAAACACCATAATCATAATATTGGCTTATTTAGAATAAGGTATATATTTAGATTACTGATGTCCATGCAAACGTAGTCAATGTTACACTGTGGGTGTCCCGAGTTCGAATCCCAGACTTTTCCTGATCATGCCCCCTCTCTCTCCCACTTTGCTTCCTGTCACTCACTACACTGGCCTATCTAAACAAACGACAAATGGCTTTATACATATTAAATATTTATTATTATTATTATTTATAATGCATATCAAATATGTATGAATAATGTAGTAAATGAATAAACATTGATAAAAAAAAATTCATATTAAATAAAAATAAGTATTATTAATTGGCAAGGCAAGTTTATTTATATTGCAAATTTCAAACACAATGGCAATTAAAAGTGATTATAAAATTTATAAAAAAAATCCTACAAGATGCATTAAAAATGTCTGTAAAAAGTAAAAAAAAAAAAAAGAATAAATGTATTACATTTAAAATATTGAAATTTAAATGTATTAAAATTGATTAAAATATTAGTATTTTTAAAAAATTAGTGAAGCTGTCAACTCTGGGAAAAAAAGCCACCAATTTTGTCTGTCTGAAATAAAATGTATAAACATTGAATGTGTAAGATGTAGCAAGAAAAAAAGGTTTTCCATATACATAAGGCAAGCCAGGTACAAGGTTCAAATAAAGTAAAATATGTTTGTTTGCAAAAAAAAAAAAAAAAAAAAGTTCATATGAGTTGTTTCGGGATATTGAAAATGTACAGAATACAGAATACGGTCATCTGCTGGTTAGAGAAAAACCTGTTAGAATTACAGTTTCAGAAAATAAGTGTCATTGTAGCGCTTAGGGACTTAGACATGACAAAGAGAGGATCTAAGTGCAGATGAATTTTAATAAATATTAATAACTATGATAAACAAAACACAAGAAAGGAGCAGAAGTGGACTGGAGGTGGTAAAAAGGGGCCTGGAGACAAAAGCAGAGCAGGGAACCAGCATGGAGCCAGAGACCAAGGTGGAGTCGGTGGAGATGGACCGCACCAGGGTGGTGCCAGCATAGATGACCATCACGGTGGAGCAGAGTATCCCAGGAGATCATGGAACTATCAGGGCAGAGCGGAGAGCTAAGGCGGAGCTGGAGACCATGACAGAGGCAGAGAAGGTGAAGACCCTGATGGAGCTGGGAGAGCAGGAAGCCAAGGCAAAGCTAGCAGAGCCAGCAGAGTCAACACATTCTCCCTCCCAACTCGTCACATACTGACACTTGGTCCGAACCCTTTAGCGTCATTTTTCGACATGCAGGGTCCTCCATTGCTTTAAAAAAAAAGAAACCCTTGGCGTCAATATGCAGACGTGAAAGGCGCTGGGAATTTTATCGGCATGATTAAATTATATATATTCGGTAATAATATTGCCATTATTGCATATATGTTGGGTTGTGATTTTTCAACAAACAGTCACAACAGTTTTATTTACACATTTATGAGCACGTAACCCAACCCCTGCCCCCAAACCTACTATTTGTCAATAAAACGCAAGATATAACAGGCAGATACAACTACAGTCATAATTTATAAAAAAAAAAAAAAAGCCAAACCGATTGATTTGTGAGAGGAATAGACGCAATGGTCTCCGTCCGCCATAAAGCTCAGATCCTGTGTGCTGCAGTCTGTGCGCCAATTTAAAAAATGCCGCCAGAGGAAGCCTTACATCAGCCTTGGTTGTGAAATGCTATTGGCTCTTGTGTGTCTCGTGACCAATTGTGTCATGCTACAGAAGTATCTTTCGGAATGAGATGTGAGAACGGAGCGGGATCATTTTCAGCAATTAAAACCTTATGTTTTACTCTCTTCTTCGCATAAAGATATCGTATGGCTTCAGAAGACTTGGAATGCAACACGGTTTGTTTGTAATGCTTTTATACTGCTTGTTTATGGTCAGTTTTTGCAATAAATACCCGTGACTGTACTTTTATTTGCCTGCTACGTGTTTCATATTGTTTAGAAGTGGGTAGGTTTAGGGTAACGTTAGGGGTGGGGTTAGGTGCTCCAATGAAATTTTAAATTTATATAAAATTTCGACTTTTTACAAATGCATGCAAACCATTAAATTAAGACAAACAACTGAAAACAATGGAGGACCCTGCACATCGAAAAGTGACGCTAAAGGGGTACCTTGAGCGTCAAAAACCGACGCCAAGGGGTCCTGACCTGACCAAGCGTCAATATGTGACGAGTTGAGAGTGAGAATGTGTTGGCAGAGTGGGAAGCCACGGCAGAGCAAGGGACCATTACGCCCGAGACAAGGACTTTCATAGCAAAGCCGGTGCAACAGGGCCCCATTACAGAGCCAGAAGACCATTGGGGATCTAGCGGCCATGGTGGAACTGAGGCAAGGATCATAGGGATTGTAAGGTTGGCTTCCGTGGCCGTAGCAGAGCTGTCAAAGAGCACAAAGAGTTCAAGGACAGCCTACATGGCCATGACAGAGCACAGAGAGTGCGAGGGTAGCCCTGAGAGTTAACAGAGCCAACAGGGGGCACTGAGAGTTCAGGGACAGACTCAGTGTCTGTAACCAAGCAAAAAGACAGCTTAGGGGATGCTGTAGTAGACACGACCACCTCAGAGGAACTGTAGCAATGTGTGCGCCCCAAACACACAAGATGGCGGTTGTCATTACAGGAAGTACAGCTGACAGTGGAGGGACCACCAGACTTGAGGCCTCCAGGATCACCGGACTTGCGAATGTAGAGACCACCAGACTTGGAAGCACAAGCAGTGCAGAGACCACCACACTTGAGAGCTTTGGGACCACAGGGAGTGTAAGGGGAGAAGCGAAGTCTTAAGGCCAAGTTGATGTATTGTTCTAACGTGAAGTCACATCTAGCACTCGGCAGACATGACTTGACCAGCTTATTAAAGGGTTAACTCACCCAAAAATGAAAATTCTGTCATTAATTACTCACCCTCGTGTCGTTATAAACCTGTAAGACCTTCGTTCATCTTCGGAACACAAATTAAGATATTTTTGATGAACTCTGAGAGCTACATAGAAAGCAATGCAATTGAAATGTTCCCAGACCCATAAACGTAGTAAGGACATTGGTAAAACAGTCCATGTGACAGTGGTTCAACTGTAATTTTACGAAGCAGATCAATTGCAGATACATTTTAATAAATAATAATAATAATAATAATAATAATGAAGATAAACAAAACACAAAGACCAAGGAACAGAACCAAGTAAACTTAAACGTGGACGGATAAGACCAGACAATGAACACTGAAAACCCAGGAGCATAAATACACACAGACCGAACAGGGTAACAAGACACAGGAGTGAACATTGAGGGACTAATGAGAGAAACTCATTAAAAGTATAAAAAAAATAAATAAAAAAAAGTATTTTATCAACTTTCAACTTTTCCATTAATTGCTAATGTAGGGTCCATTTGCGCACTCAATACCATGAATAACTTTACATACCTTCAGACCAACCTAATCAAGCCCAGTTTGTGTGTGTGTGTGTGTGTGTGTGTAGACGGGTAATGTCACAAAATCGTATGCCACTGAAATTAAGGGAACCAGTTTTTTTTATGAAGGTAACATCAAACAGACCCTAGACCCCAAATGAGGTTAAATACTGCTTCATGTTTTTCATGTTATTATTCAAGTAAACAGTAAAAGAAACAAATTAGGAGCAGTTTTCTGTAGTTCTTGCTAATAGTGCCAATTAATTAATGACAACCAATAAAAGCATCTATTATGTATCTGTTAGACTTATGATAAAGCCTAATGTAGAGATCTGATGGCCTTTATGTCCAAGAAGCTTATTTGACTATACACATGAAGTTGCATAACCATGAGTGTTATTCACAAATACATGTGTTATTCAAAAATTCCCAAATACACATGTGAGCATTCAAAACTACCTGGCTCCTATTTGACACTTAACTTTTATGAGAATGCTATTGCTATTGTATGTTAACATGATCAGTCATCCGTCCCCAACCACATTTGTGCTTTCAGCTCTACAGCTTTCTAAATAGCCAAACCTTACTCATAAAGATCAAATGAATTTTTCAAGTATAAAGAGTGCTCTATTGAGAAACACACTCCTGTGCATATCTTACCATTAATCTGGTGACATTAAGTTCACAGTAGTTTCCTCATGCGGCGAGTGTGTCTGTTAATGTTCATGGTGGTGCGGTCAGCAGAAAAGCTCAATTCATCCAGAGCCTCGTCTTGACGCTCCAGCTCTGTCTCAGCTTCCAGGGCTAGATTCTTCACCTGCTGGAGCATCTACACAAACACAGCACAAAATAATCTTTTGGATAATGAATATTTGGAATTGGAGTCCAAAATATAGATATAATATGTACATTGGGGGTTGACTTAAGTTTTTTACTAATTGTTTTGGTAAAAGTGATTGATTGACAGATGAGTCTGCAGTCTAGATGCTGGTGTTTGGCAGACATCAAGGCGATATAATAGCGATGCAGTGACATGTGTTTTTAACTACCTCTGAATGGTTTGAATGATGAGATCATTCAGGCGTTTACACTTGCATTTATTGCTGTCCATTTTCTGATCAGATCACCCAATATGGATTTTAATACCAGGTGTACATGTGATAAAAGTGACAATAAACCTATTCTATTCTGCTACTCTTAGAAAAAAATACAGCGTATCTTTAAATCTAATATCACTTATCCATCTATTATTTGGCTAGTTGTATTTATATTTATATTTATAGATATAAATACTGTTCAGTTTCTTGCACAGACCGATCGTTTCGTGTCTTTACACATCAATGTATCGTCACGAGCCACAGGATTTAATTTGGTTTTGTTTGTGTATGTTTTTTTGACTCTCAAAGCCATGATTCCCATTCACTTCCATTATAAGACTGACAGACTGCAACGGTTTGAGTTAAAAATCTTCTTTTGTGTTCTACTGAAGAAACAAAGTCTCCTACATCTTGGATGCCCTGGGGGTAAGCAGATAAACATCACATTTTCATTTTTGGGTGAACTATTCCTTTAAGTATATTCGCTCAGTTTTTGTGTCTTTTTTTAAATTCCGATTTGAACAAACCCCTAAGCCTGTTAAATGTAACTTCTCCCAACCCGTTACTACTACGGACATAAATTATACCTAAAATTGTGCAGGTTGTTGAAGAGAGGTGTACTGTTACTTTTCTAATCAATCAAAAATGCCTGAAAATCAAAATCCCATAGACTCAAAGGAGGAAACTGAGCCATTGAGGGACCACAATATCATAGAATAGACTCTTCTGGGACTTTTTGCAACCACTTAGAAATGCTCTAACATCCAGCCCACCTTATGAACAGCAGAGTACATCTCTAGCAGCTGCCTAGCAATACTGAAAAAGTTGACAACGTGTGATGGAGAGGTTTGCAAGGCCAAGCGACACTGAATAATAATACAGTTTAAACAATCTAATTTATTTTTATTCAAATTTACATTCAAAATGATTTCCAGTTCAAAAGTTTACGAACAAGTTAAATCTTAAGTGTCTGATTCCAATCGTCCGTTCCTGGATGATCGACGACTGTCTTTAAGTTCTGTGATAGTTGTGCAAGTCCCTTGTTTGTCCTAAGCAGTTAAACTGCCCACTGTTCCTCAGAAAAATGGTCCATGCCCTTCACATTCTTTGCTTTTTCCAGGATATATGACTGGGTATATATATATATGATTATGAGATCCTTCATTTCAGACAACTGAGAGACTCACACAACACTAAGTGCATTTGCTGATGCTCAACAAGGAAACACACAACACTGAGAGCCAGGGGTGTAAACTTTTGAACAAGATGACCTTAACTGAATATTGAGACCTAAAGGTGTGAATGCAGCTAAACACAAGTTAGCTATCAAGACTATAAAAAAATGCTTAAAGGGGTCATCGGATGCAAAATTCACTTTTACATGTTGTTTGAACATAAATGTGTGTTGGCAGTGCATGTACACAACCACCCTATAATGATAAAAACCCACCCAGTGCTTTTTATTTTATTCTTGGCAGTGACATAGTTTTGCACAGGCCCCTCCCACAATTGTTGATTGACACTAGCGTTTTACCTTAGACCCGCCCTGAGTGAGCTGTCATCAGTCCGCCATTGCTTCGACGCCGGAGCGGTTGTAGACAAGAATGTCTTCTACTAAGCAATTGAGGCGTTTTGTTGTTGCATGTAATAATGAACATAGCAGTAGTCATTTACTCCTGACATCTGAGCCGCTGAAGACGCAGTGGATCACGTTTGTTTTTGAAGGGAATGCATCCCCCGATCTGCCTAAATGCGTTTATGTTCGCGCGAATCATTCGTGATCCAGCTTCACCTACAGAAGAAATGAGTATTAGGTTTTTTTGTGTGTTAGTAAGTTCCGCGGCTAAAGTTAACAGTCTCAGAGAACGGCTCGTCACCCCACGGAAGAGAGGGGCGGGATGAGCAGAGCTCATTAGCATTTAAAAGAACATGCACTGAAACGGGTCGCTGTGAACAGAGACGTTTTTGGCAAGGTAAAAGGGTGTTGTTTTACATTACCATTGAAAAATTTTAATCAAAGTATGTTATAGACTTTTAATTAAGACCCTAAAGAATCATATCACCTTGTGGAAAATGAGCATCCGATGACCCCTTTAATTCGGGAGTAATTTGTTAAATGAACAAAAGTGTCCAACAAGAAAGGGTTACCAAGATCAGTATTTAACGGATCATGTGATTGCAACATTTCTGCCCCCATGAGGCCACATCCTTCTGAAATATTTGTCTATTGTTGAAAATGATGTGTTTGTGTAAAATTAAAACCAACTGATTTCGAACCTGTTTTAGCTCCTGTGCCTCTGCTTCAGTTACAGTGGGATGAAGCACTTGAAGTTGCAGCTGTGTCAGTTCACCAGCAGGCACCTCCACTGGCACCTCCGTATCCTGCCCATGACCTGAAGAGACACAGAACCAAGTCATATATTTCCTTAAGATTTGTTGTTAAGATTAGAATAAAATGTCGGTAAACATTAACTAATAAGTGTACAATGGGATCTCTCTCTTTTAATGACCTGTAGTAGATGTTGGAGCGTGACTGCCACCATGTGGTAGAAATACTTAATGGCTTACAGTGTTACATCTATCCATTGTCAAAAACTGAATGTGAAAAATCACAACCTTAAAATGTCATGGATGAAGCCTTGTTTAGTTTATGAGCCTGTCATTTCAGATTACATTTATCATGCTGTCAAATGATTATATTCATTTTGTATATATAAATACGCAGTATATGTTTTGAAAATATGTACATGCATTTACATGTATATATTTAGATTCATATTATATAAAAATATTTAATATATAAACATAACATTTTTCTGAAATATACATGAAGAAAAACAAACATAAATAGTGATGAAAGCCAAAATATTAAATACTGAATTATTTACGGAGAAATCGGTTTTGCAGATGGGGGTTAAAATGACAATTTTCACCTGAAATTTTGAGCCAAATTACAGGGGGTAAAAAATTACTGATGGCAGCATCATTTTAATTGTTGAGTTTTGTTTTTGCTGTAACTCAACTATATACCTGTAACACGATATCTCTTAATATAAATTTTAGATCTTGGTTTTAAAGAAACTTTTTTTCTTTTGCGGTTTTCATTTTTAAACCTATAGATCTCAATGCGGCTCCATATCCAAAGGGTTTTTTTGTTTGTTTTTTACCAATTTTCAATTTGTAAATGTCACTTTGGCCACATACACACTGTGGTTGCTTACACACTGTGTACATTTTTGTAAATGCGGTTGTCACTACCTGTATACATTTGATTGTGGAATGCGGTTATCACTCCTGTAAACCGCTGAACTGTGTGCAAAGCACTAAAATTAAGCACTAAAAGGTGAATCAACAACTGAATTTAGCTGCAGTGTGTATGAGGCCTCTGTGGGTCACTTTGCAAACAGCTGATATTTATTGTATTTAAAGGGAATGTCTGAAGAACAAGAATAAATATAATGCAGACAAACAACTGATAAAACCTGGCTTGCTGAATATTAGATCCCTTTCTACAAAAGCACTTTTGGTACACGATATGATCACAGATCATAAGCTTGATGTGCTCTGTTTGACAGAAACCTGGCTAAAACCAGACAATTACATTACCTCATCTGAAGGGCAAAAGGAGTGTTGATGCAACAATTTATAGTAATATTTTCAGTATTACTCAGAGGTCTGGTTTCCAGTACAATTTATTTTGAAGTGATATTGTTTTTACTAGATAACATTATATAAAACACCAAATCATTTTGACAATTCTACTGGTCTCTGACTGTATACAGGCCTCCAAGGCACCATGTAGAACACAGAACTTTCAGATTTTTTTATCCGAGTAAGTGCTGGCTGCAGTTAAATTGTTAATTGTTGGTGATCTTAAAATTCATGTAGATAGTAAAAAAAAGATGCATTGGGATTGGCATTTACAGGCATTCATTGGGGGTTAAAAACCAAATTTTGTCCTATATTGTAGGCACTGAAATTTTGCAGCAGAGCAATGATATCTCAGATCATTATCTAGTCTCATGTATCGGTTTAGTGAAGACTGCAAAATCGCTCCTTGTTACAAATATTCAAGTTTTTGTATAGCGCTTTTCACGATACAATTGAATTGAATTGAACAAATATGGTAGAACTATCACTTCTACTAATAAAGATTGCGTCGTTATTAAACTTTCTGATTTGTCTGCTTTGTCTCCTCAGCATAAGATATAACTTAGAAGATGTTGCAATAGAAACTACAGACTCTCTCTTTTCTAGCACATTAGACCAAGTACATAACCCATTCATAATTTTAATAGAATTCTTATTTTTCATGCTGCTAAGGATACCATGCAAAGTTTTGGGAGTGCGTTTGGATGGGTTGAGATGGAACGACCCACTTGCATTTCTTGCAAATGGCAAAAAAAAAAAAAGGAATACAATGTGCAAAGAACCTAAGATTTTCTGGTAAGCTGCAAATGAAGGATCATTATTTGCAAGCTTGAAGAATGCAACATTAGAATTAAAAACTGTCATTGTTTTTGTAATATTTGATCAGTTTAATCAATGCATACTTGACTAATAGAAGTATACATTTTGGTGTGCCTGAGGACTTTGCAGAGAGCTATTATTTTAAGTCATGCGTCTCAAGCTATGTCTGCTGTCATATAATCTACTTTTGTTTAGATTAAAAGCTGGCATTGAAGTTCTAACAATGAAATAAGACTGTCCAAATAAGTACCTGCACTCCAAATGTTTCCTCCACCTTCTGGGCTTCCTGTTGTGGTTGCCAAAGTTGCCTGAAATGCTGCATAGTCACGCGTGATCTCAACTTTCTTCTTATACTGCATCTCCAGTACAGAAAAAGCTTCAGTCATCCTGGCAGAGAGAATTCGGAAACAGATGTCAGGTTTTCCAATGAAGCGCTGGCGAACACTGATCTCGTAGGGGCTGTGCACATAGACATCATCCACCTCTTCCTTCTCAAAGCAATGGAGGAGCTGTCCGTTTGCATCTCGAACCTCCAGAGAGGAGACCAACACGATCAGGCTACCTGGTTTCATGGTTCCAGAGCTTCCAACATAGGAGACGATAGCTGGAATGCTGGTTATGACTTTTTGTCCCTTGGCCGAACCTTTAGTACAGGCCGCTTTGGCCGCTGCCTCAGACTTGGCCTCCTGGTGGCTCTTCCATGGCAGTTTGCCAAAAGGCCACCAAGAAGGACACTCAAGTTCAGAGAGAAGTCTGCACAAAAGAGAAAAAAAATGGCATCATTAATATTATAAAAACAACACATGACTGTGGTGTATGGTGACAGTGGATGTTCTTGACTTCCCAATGAATATAATTTACATTTATTAATTTAACACACTTTTAACCAAAGTGCCTTACAAATGAGGAATGCAACAAACTAAACTATGAAATTACCAAATTATGAAAGACCGTATTATCGAGAAACTCTGACATTATTGGACCTGTTTTCGGTAATGGAGAAATTAGGAAAATACATTTCCTATTTGTAATTGCTTCATAAATGTAATGAACAAACAACAAACCATTCCTGATTATGTCCATATGTAAAAAATATCTGCACAGCTTTCAGCTAGCTGGACTTTTTTGAGGTTATATTAACACATTAGAGCATTAAACTCAATTCCTGGAGGGCCACAGCTCTGCACAGTTTAGCTCCAACCCTAATCAAACACACCTGATCCAGATAATCAAGGTCTTCAGGATTACTAGAAACTTCCAAGCAGGTGTGATTTGGAGATGGTTGGAGCTAAACTC